AGCAGCCATCCTGCGTCTAGTAGTAATGAGTGTGATGCTTACTCAAGTCACATGACATAACATGCACTAAAATACTAACTTTAGAATATAATATTTAGAACAAAACCTCATCATTACTAAAACAATTTAATCAAATATGATATTAAAGATGTGTTTAAATTGGTTCAATTAGTTAGAGACAAGTGACGTCAACCTCAACAATGGGCAGCAGGGGGCGTGAGAGTACCGCGGTACGCCACGAGAGTTTCGCGATACGTATCGTAGTTGGTGTATCGCGATATTTCGGTTCGGTTTTAATATCGTTACACCCCTATTGTTTACATGTCTTACCTTCATTTTATACAGCTACTGAACTAACATAAAAATGAACATCATATTTCCTGGTTCCGTCTATAAGGCCCGCTCTCAACGGGCTCTGATTAGTCAGCTAACCTAGGTGAAGTTAATTTATTAAGTAATTTTGGTGGAGCGTGTGCTTATGATTGATGACGGCTGATCCCGCATAACCAGAGTTTCTTACTTTAGGTATCTTCGCCCAGAAGAATTCCCCTTCCACCCCTACTCCTCCACCTTTCCCTTTATATGGTGGCACAGTGGCCTAGTGGTTAGCACCAGTGGCGTCGCTAGACCTAATTTACTGGGACACGTACCCCAGTAAAAATCGCCAGTGCCCCAGTAAATGCTTTGAGATATGATTTACTTCATATGCAAAGTGTATTTATTAAGAGTGGTAATCCCGGAATAAAGACGTTATTCACTATGTGCAACTGAACTACCGCTGGTAAAGGCAATTTAGTTTAATCAAAAAGCAAACTGACGCATCTCTGCATGTGCGCAGAAAACTATACCCGGGTGCGGGTGCCTCACACACCGCTCCTGCTTGACATGTTGCTCTTCTCCAGGTCCCGGTTGTTAACATGTACGCAGAAAAAAATACTTGCTCCTCACGTGCCACTCATGCGTTGTGAAATTGACAACCTTTAATGCGGAGGTGACGGCAAGCAGTGAGTTTTGTAAGTTGACAAAACTAAAGTTTAAATAATATGATGGTGATGTTAAGCGTGCCTCATGATAGATTTTTTGAATGAAGTAAAAAGGAGGGATGATGAGTCGGGGAGGTAAGACTTTATAAACCTTATTCTCTGCCATGTGACAAGTCTAAGACAACAGAATATTCTATAAAACATCTTTCTTGTATTCTATAGAATTGTCTGTAGAAATTCGTTTAAATGAAACTAAATGAAATCTTTTGGATTCTCGAGACCTACCTGAGCTCAAACTCCCTTCTCGCTCTGCAAAAAGGAGAGAGCCTTGGGCTCGAGGATCTTATGAGCTCAGTGTTCTCTTCTGGGACAGCATGCCAAACAAGCTTTATAATTAATCATCAGCTAAGTGTGAACTCTTGAATGTTTAGTGATTGGCGGATAGGCTCCACATCACCAGGAAACGTCATGCCTCTCCTGCATGCTGTCTGTTAATAATGTCAGTAAAGCCGTATCAGTTTGAGCCTGAGTCAGACACAGAAATGAAGAGGACACAGCTGAAGCCATGCAAACACGACTCTTGCAAGATGTTTCTGAATGGTGTTTTTGTTTTGTTCATTGGTATGAGGAGGAATGTGGTCAAGCCGTCAGCATTTGATAGAAATAGTTAAAGCAGATCAAACAGACAGAGTAACTCTTTCTAAATTACAGATTTGCTCAGTTATTTGTCCTAGTCCACTCAGTACAGTGTATTTACTATTGCATGCAGTTTTATATAATGTGGTTTAACCTTGTGAGAGACAGTAGTAAACAAATTAAAGAAACATTCAAATACTTTGTGTTACAAATATTCCTTTATTTCATTTCCAGGTCATTGCAGATCCACATGCAGGTTTATTACAAGAGAATGGTCAGGCAAGCAGCGGTCGATACAGGAGCAAACGCATGTATACAGGCAAATCCAGGATCGTGGTCATACAACAGGCGGAGGGTCAAAAGGCAGGCAGCAGACAGGAATAAACAATAAAACAAGGCAAGGGTTTAACACGGCAAGGAAAACTCATTGTTAGGGATGGATGACGTGAAACTGATGTTTCGACACAGTATTCATATCCAAAAGCGTAATTTTTTTGAAAAACACTGCAGCGAAGCATGATCCGAAACAGCCAGGTCACGTGATTAAAGTGATTTGAAACACCAGGGGCCTCATGTACGAAGACTTGCGTGGAAATCTTACTAAAACATTGCGTACGCACGAAGCTGTAAATGTGCGTACGCAGAAAAAAATTCAGATGTATGAAACACTGCGTACGCCGAATCTCACGCATATTCTTTTGTACATCTGAATGAACGTGAAACTGAGCGCAACATGCACGAGCACAAAACCCCTCCCTGCCTCCTCCCCCGTATGAATATGCTAATGACTATGCTAATGGCAAAACCCAACGAAAAAGCAATGGCAAAAGCAAGCAAAAAGAGAAACTTTGAACAGAATGTGAAATGGAGGTGCTGCTTTCGGAGGTAGACCGGAGAAAAGCGGTGTTATTTGCAAGTTTCTTCTCCGGAATTAACAACAAAAGAAAAAAATAGAGTGGGAGTTTAGCTGATACGGTTAACACAGTTGGGTCTGAACATATCGCACTGAGTGCATTTAAAAAAGAAATAGTGTGGTTTATATCTGTAAAATGTTGCAATACCCTAAGCGGCCTCAGTGGCGCACCTCATAAGAAGCCTGAGATCATGTACAGACATATTCGAGCGTAAACTCGGCTCGAATCCAGCGACTGATAAATTCTTTCTTCTTTTTTCCCCGCTACATATCAGATTTTGCCCACTATTTATCAAGAGAAAGACAAGTAGGAATCATTAATAAGTTTGTGCATCATATTTTATTTGCACATTTATTGAATGGAAATGTTTCTGATTCACGCATGCAAATTCATCTTCAGATAGTGTCTTTATAGCAATGTGCGTGCGGTAGATTGCTCAGATTACATTGCGACTGCTGCAATTTGCGCTTTAATGTTTAGCTGGTCAACTGTATGGTATGGAAATCTTACATACCTACTATATGAACCCGTCTCATACAGCTGCCATTGCAAGGCTCAGACACTTTGTAGAGAGGAATTTAACACAACTGCCTCTAGGAGTCGCCAATGGAAATAAAACAGACACGCACAAAAAATGTGCGTACGCCTGCCAGAAAGCTGCCGTGAACCTGCGCACATTCCCACGTTCAGTTCATTGTTAGTAAATCCAAACGTGAGCGATTCTGAGCGTGAAACCTGGCGTACGCAAAGTTTTTGTGCGTATGCAGCGTTGATACATGAGGCCCCAGGTCACGTGAATAAAGTGATTCTAAGCTTTAGTCATTTTAGAATGGTTTCGAGACCTGGCGAATCTGCGTTTGACTGATTGGGTTGGGAAAATCCTCTTTCTCATGTAGCCTAGTGGGCTATTGTGTGCACAAAGTAACCGTGCTGCAAATGGCCTGAGTTTGAATCCTGACTTGTACAAATACTCTGAAATTATGATTTGATGTATTTTAATAATGTTACTTTGTTTTATGACAAAATCAAGACATATTTATTCAAAGTGTTCATTCACATGTCAAACCAATGTTAAAACAAAACACGTGACAAGAAAAGAGCATTTACAAATTAATATTTATAACTACATCACTCTGGGTTCAAACCCATTACCTCTGCATGCTAATCAGGAACTCTCACCGCTCCACTAAATGACCTGAAACCTCAACTCTACAGCGTGGGGTTTAATACATCAAATTGCTGAACTGTTTCTTTGCTGAAGCTGTTCCAGACCAATACAGAAAAAATGAACACTAGGTGTCACTGTAGAGACAGGGTTTCAAAACGTTTCAAAGCTTCGACACATTTGCTTCGGCTGTTTCAGTGTTTCATGAAGGCAGGCACTTTTTTCCAGGGGTTTCCAGGGGTACAGCGTAACCGCTACTACGTCATCGGGTGGGCGTGGCCTATCTGTGAATTTGCATAGGTCACGGATCATGCGCAGATTGTGAAAACAGCCGTTTGATTCAGATACCTGTACGTATTCGCAGGGGTTTCGTGTCAAATGCCTTTTATATGCAGTACTAAATAGCTGTCCTGATCGCAGGTGTTTCATGTGAAGTCTGTGTATGTTATATTAAACAAATTAACTTAAGATACCTCTCAGATTACATTAATACTGTTATAACTTAAGATACTTGTCCCGATCCTTCGGCTTTTGTGTCAAATACTTTATATATCATATACAGTAGCATCAGATACCTGTCCTGATGCCAGGGGTTTCATGTATAATTACTTTTATATTAGTTAACATCAGATACCTGTCCTGATCCCAGGTGTTTCATGTATGATCACTTTTATATACAGTAACATCAGATACCTGTCCTGATCTCAGGGGTTTCATGTATGATCACTTTTATGTTAGTTAACATCAGATACCTGTCCTGATCCCAGGTGTTTTGTGTATGATGACTTTAAATAAAAATAGAAAATAAATATGAGTTATGTTAATTAACTAAGATCGAGAAAGAAAAATTAACCACGGTTTATTACAGAAAATGTGGTATTTATTTGTTTAAACATGACTGAATACCATATTTTAAACTACAAAAACACGGTTAATCTTACCACAACCATTATTATTTGGTTTAAAATGGAAGTACAAAAGCCCAGAGACAGTAAAACAGAGTAAAACGAATTAAAACGAGGTCGGCTGTTTTTGCTAAGGAAATCTTTGAAATATAACATTACAACAACAAAAAAAAAAATAACCTGTATGATTGTTTTTTTTCCTTCGTTATCCACCGCGGTAGGTTCTTTATCCATAATCATCCTGTTTGAAATGACCGCGCTAAAAAAGAACCTGTACTGCGCATGATCGGTGACCTCTCAGTATTGTTTTTTTTTAAGGGGGCGTTTCCCAAACACCGACCAAACCACGCCCATTTTACGTCGTGGTAATGAAACCCCTGGAATTTAGTGCATGCCGTTTCATGAAGCCTCGCTTTGCCTACCACTACACGTCTTAATGTCACAACAACAGATAATAACAGATAAGAAGTGTGTGTGTGTGTTTTGTGTATATGGTCCACCTGATCAGTTCCTGAGCAGCTCCCAGCCGTGTTTGTATGTGTAATCAACCGAATGAGGAACAGGTGTGTGTGAGCGGTGCATAACTGGACATGTAGTTCTTTAAAGTGGCAGATTCGTAGTTCTTCAGTGATCTGCACAGGCTGGGTCGCTGGTGACCGCGACATAAAGGCTGTAAAGTCTTTGTTTCTAATACACAGCAGGTAAAACGACCTACTATGCAATCGTAATGACATTGTACCATTGTTTCCGCTACATTTATTCTTCCATGGCGGGGCGCCACGCCAAAATTCATCCCGCCACGGCTACATTACAGCTTCTCATTCAAAACAATTAATTTTTTTAATAGCGGGTAATAATCACACCAAAACGCATTAAAGGGTAAGAGAATTATAATAGCGCAAGCTTTTCTGTGATCGTAGTAGTGCTGTGCGTTCTGTTTAACCCTTTAAGGTGACTGACTGACTGACAGGTGCGTGATGCGTGAGGCCAGCAAACACAACGTATAGCCGTTTCACTTCAGGATGCATTAATGCTACTTTGTAGGTCTATTGGAGACATAAATATTCCTAGCAAATCTAATAAATGCTGGAGACATACTCGTCACATAAACACACTAAATCGCACACAGCAGCGTTTGTTTGAGAGCGCACAAGAAGATCTGCGCGCTCTTTAAGCGGCTTATATTTGAGGGGGCGTGTAAGAAGTTTTGTGCACGAGCAGAGGAAATCGGCGCGCAAGCACAGAGATTCGCATGCTCGTAGGCTATTACATAAATGCAGTCCTGACTTCTAATACTATGCTCACGACATTTGTCATTGAAATAATAACGCCACAGGTAGTTGGTAGATCTGTGTAAAAAAATAAAAATAAAGGCCTCCTGCCACAACTAGAAAAAATCCAAGAGGAAACGCTGTGTACTGTAGTCAGGCTAGGACAAAGTAAAACACACTTCAGGTATTTATAAAGAGTATGTTTATGCTGAATAAATAAAAGAATATAAAAATAAATGCAGGGACAAACCTATAGTGAAAACAACACACTTTAGTGAATGAATAAATAAGGAAACACGTTACAGAAACAGGAGTGAATGATATGATGTGGTATTTCCTTTATTCTGAGTAAAACTGCTCATTTCCAATACTAATAGCTTTCTTCTTGTCAGATGGGTTCGAGTAGTTCCTCTGTCCTGCTGCGCTTCAGCAAAATTTAGCATCACAAGCACACTGAGCACCTTGTGTCATCATATAACACATATCAACCAATCAGCGAGGGTGTCTGTCAAGCCAGAACTTCAAGTGCAACCAATCCTTTTAAACAGAGACATACGCTGTAAAAAGTGATTCGTTACTTAAAGCGAGTAAACCAATTGCCTTAAAAGCAACAAGCTGACTTCACGAAGATAATGTAAGTAAACCCATTGTAACTTGGAGCTGTTCAGTTGACTTCATTTGTGTAATTATGCTAATTTAACTCACTTTTTAAAGTCAACTAATCACTTTTTACAGTGTCAGACTATTTTAGCGTGTCTGTTTTCCAATAACGACTGTAATTATTACAATATCACATATTTGGTGCTTCATTAAGTTGATCAGATCTACAATTATAGCCTGTGTTGAATTGAGAAGACACACTGGAGTCTGGAGGAGCAGATTTATCTTACTGTATGTCATTTTGCTGGATACAGAAAAGCTGGAAAAACCCAAATATAATAAATATATATTGGTGTATTGAGAAAAAAAGTGATTAGTTTACTTCTATTATTTTAAAAAAGTGAGTTCAATTAGCATAATTATACAAATAAAGTCAACTGAACAGCTCCAAGTTACAATGGGTTTACCTACATTATCTTCATGAAGTCAACTTGTTGCTTTTAAGGCAATTGATTTACTTAAAGTAACCAATCACTTTTTGTTTGGTGTTTGCTGTAAACTAAATTGGTTTTGTTTATTTTATTATGAGTTGAACTAAAACATGAAGTTGTATTCAATGTTTTTGTTGGTGGTTATTTATTTATGTATGTATTTATTTTATTTGTTTGTTTGTGTATTTATTGTCTGCTTAACATTGATTCTGAAATGATTAATTTACTGAAGCTGATTTCCTCCTGGCGCCCGGTGACCGCTGTAAGTCGCTGTTGCTGTGATTGTCCTCTAGATGGCAGTAGTACACAGCACACTGATAGCGGAGGCGCTGGAGGAAAAGCTCAGAACAAGCAACATTAAACTCGTGTTGAAGATGAGAAGAAACAAAGACGCTACACTTCAGCTTTTATCAACTCTAGAGAGATTATTTAGCGAACACGACACAACTCCTGCCTTTCTTCATTATATCCTGGCTCTTGACTGTCAATTCCTCTGTGAAAGCGATCAGGAATAGCGGACTTTTACCGTGTTCATATGTAAACAGGTAACGTTGTGTTTCTCTCCTTATTTATTAGTTCAGATTCCTACTTTCTCAATATTCAAGTGTTTTTCTCTCGGCTGTGTTCCTCTTCAGTGTCGGTTTTCAGCTTTGTTTTTGCTTGGTTTTGGCCACTAACCTCTTTATTAAAGCTCTCGATGTAAAAGCTTCTCGCGGTAAAAGCACAGGTTATGATTCCTGTTTACTTTCACACATTCTTATACTTCAGGATTTGTCTGATCTTTATTAGCGGCAAATGAAATGCTGTGTTCACTCATTTCACCCTCATGGACAAATACTGTAGTCATTTATAGTAAATAGTGTAGTAGAAATACAAAACACCAACACTGTACTACATTTACAACAACTATATTACAACACAGCACAGTTTACTGCAGTAAAAACTCATGTTTACTACAGTATGCAGAGCATTTTCTCATTTCACCATAGTTACTGCTGCAGCATTCAGTAACACAGTTGTACAATACACTTTATTATAGGATGGTTCAAAAACTTTATAGTATTAACTATAAATTACTGTAGTATTTTTCAGTATTGTAGTTATGGGTATCACTATAAAGCAATAGATATTATAATTTTTTGTCAAGATAAAGGTTGATTAATGCCTTTACTAACATGAACAATCAATTAGTAATACATTCACTACGGTATTCATTCATCCTTGTTAACATTATTTAAGTTAAACAACGTTAGTTCATGTTAAATCTCTGCATTAATGTTGACAAGCACAACTTTGGATTTTATTAAAACATTAGTAAATGTTGAACTGATTAATTTACAGAATTATTCATACTTAATGTTAGTAAATGCATGAACTGATGGTGTAAAATTATTGTAAAGTATTACTGAACTATAAAATGTTAGTTTTGTGCAAAAACAATAATTGGCTAGACAGCACCTTGTTGTGTTTTTCTGGTTTATTTTATCTTTATGAGCAGGAATCAAGGTTTGATCAGTGTTTTGTGCATTTTAAAGTCTTAAATTTCATTGCATTGTCCTGAATGAATATACTATGTAGACGTTGTTTCCCAAAGTTTGGCTTAATTTAATCTGTGAATATTGGGGTGCAGTGTAGTTTATTAAATCAGTAGAATCTTGCTGGATGGATCATAATGAAAGCGCAGTTGTTGTCTCAGCCTGTGATAGAGCAGACAGAAATAGTCGGTCACATACTCATTTCATTTATTTATAAATATTTTCCTATTTTTAAAAATTCTAAATTATTCTAAAATATGTAATCAGCCAATTTGTCCTGGTAAAACAATCACAATCGGCCATGAAAAATCAAGCTCAGTGCATCAGTGTGTTTATTGATGAATGTGTTGATGAGTTGTGTTAAATGGTTGTTAAACTGCATTGGACACCGGATGCAGTGCAACATGAAGCGCACATGACAGTTGGAAGTATCGTACACCAGACACGCACATTCACATGTTATCTAAAATGAAACTATTCAGATTAGGCTTGGGCGGTATTATGGTATACCGTGGGATCTAAAAATAGCAACGGTGTCAGTTTCAATACCGTTATACCGTCATAAAGTATTAAATATCCTTTATTTAATGCCTACAAAAACGTATGTGTGGTAGTCATCACGGGACAGTGTGGAGGAGAGAGGGAGGGGGAGAGGTGAGGTGACGAGTCGGACTCCAAAGTATCCTGCAGTTTGGCAGTATTTCCAGTTTCGACTGAACAGAAGGGAGACGTCACGTGGTAAATATGAACTAGAGGTCTGCATTAGAGCTGAAGATCTTTGCCCAAACCCGGCGAGACCCGAAAAAATCCAATCCCTGCATTAAAATCCATCCCTGCAAAAGGTGAAACAATGATGATGGAGTAGTAAAAAAGCGAATTTTGACAGCGGTCAAGCCAGTCACTAGCTCAGAAGGAGCGGTTATTCAAGCTGCCAAGGTAGGCTATTTAAGCAGTCGCTCATACACTGCGTATTACGGTAGAGCGCAAACCGCAAGCTGACAGGTAAAAAGACGAGGCCACTCGCTACACTGAAACTACTGTCATGGAAAATTAAATAGATGTTCCTGACTGGTAGAAGATGAACAAACAATCCTACCCAAAACTTGCAAAATCAGCCAGATCAGAACTCTGCATCTCGACCTGTAGCAGCAGCAGTGAAATGGTGTTCAGTTCTGCTGGACCCCGTGAGCGCAGGACTGCGATAAAGCCTGTGTTTTTAATAATGTTCCTCCACAAACACACGTAGCCTAATCTTGGTGAGTAAAGGGTTTTTAAATTATAAATAAATAATAATTAAACCATATAATCATAATGTAGACAGAGTATACAGGCTTGGCAATATTCTTTCAAAATTCAGCTTCACCTTAATGCCAGATTGTGAAGAGAAGTGGCGAAACAAATCTTGCAGAGCCTTTATCTTAATTTCGTTATTGCCAAAATACCCGTCATCATTTAGAGTTTATTTTAATTTGATTTGTTAAGCAAGATTTCTTGTCATTGGTGTGTTAAGCTAATTTAATGGCTAAGGGTATGTATACCCAAGTTACAGAGGACTTATTTTATTTCTCTGTTCCAACTTCCAAGTGGCCTATAGTCTACGATTGTTACGAATAAATTATGTTAAAACATATAAATGATTCATTCTTGAAAAAAGGCAATAGAGCTGTGTGCATGAGCACATTTGTATAATGTCGGGCTGTAAACGGGTTCGGGCTTTTATAAAGCTGTCAATCAAAATGTACCTGTCAGGCTCAGGATTCATCGTGCCTAATTTTTATGGCCCGATTACAGCTCTCTGCATTCCCGCTGCTGTAAATCATTATTGAAATTTCTGAATACATCATTATTATTATTATTATTGAACTGTATTGAAATGAACACACACAGAGAGAGAGAGAGAGAGTGGTGCTGTGCGTCTCTTGGCGCGCTCTCTCTCTCTTTCTCTCTCTCTGTCTCTCTCTCTTTCTGTGTGTGTGTGTCTGCGTGCGAATGAGAGCAGTGTCCCGCGCAGAAGAATACAAACAAGACAAATAGGTGACCACGAGCCTTAGGTCGCATATAAGGTATTCAGTTTCTGAATGGTGTAGGCACAAGCTAACAGTTTGGAGATGCTGTCTGAGCCTTGCGTCATCTTTTTTTTTTTATTACGCTGGTAATACCGGATACCGGGGTAAAATATGGAGGCGGTTTGACGGTATCAAAATTTGGATACCGCCCAAGCCTAATTCAGATATAGTGGCGTGGCAGAAATATGAACAGTGTCCTGAGTCATGGCTGGAAACCACTCCAGTTGGTCCATTGTTCTTATGTTGTTTAATTGAAAAAAAAAAAAGGTCTGTGTGTGTTTATATCAACCCAGTATGACAGTCTATACACTATACCTACACGTATGTCTGTCCAAACAGCTTAAAAAGTAAAGCTTAAAACGCAGCATAATAATGGGGTTTGCTAAATAAACAAGATTCGGAAAAGCTGATTAGTGATGGGTCGTTCTTGAACGATTCGTTCATTTTGAACAAATCTTCAATATGACTCAGGAACTACGAGTCCTCTCAGGGAGTGATTCGTTCATTTGTGCAGGTGGTATCGTTAATTTCAAGTCTTTTGAGTCGTTCATCGCGGAAAGGCAGAAGCCAATCATACGCGTTTAGAGCCGGAAAAAGTATTGATCTATTCACGTCTCGAGTCCTCTATCGGGTTTGAGTGATTCGTTCCTCATGGCCCAATCATATGTGTTTAGAGTCCGATAGAGATTTGATCCATTCACGTCTCGAGTCCTCAGGTTTGAGTCATTCTCTCACGTGATGAACAAACTAGGGCTGCTCGATTTTGGGAAAAATCATAATCACGATTATTTTGGTCATAATTGTAATCACGATTATTCAAAACGATTATCAGTTAAAGTCAAAATTATTAGCACTCCTGAAATTTTTTTTAAAATAAATATTTCCCAAATGATGTTTAACAGAGCAAGGAATTTTAACAGTATTTCCTCTTATATTTTTTCTTCTGGAGAAAGGCTCTTTTATTTTTATTTTGGCTAGAATAAAAGCAGGTTAGAATATTTTGAAACCCATTTTAAAGTCAATATTATTAGCCCCTTTAAGCAATATATTTTTTGATTGTCTGCAGAAGAAACTACTGTTATACAATGACTTGCCTAATTACACTAATTAAGCCTTTAAATCGCACTTTGAATCTGAATGCATGTACTTTAAAAAATATCTAGTCAAATATTATGTGATTTCATCATGACAAAGAAAAAATAAATCAGTTATTAGAAATGAGTTATTAAAACTATTATGTTCAGAAATCTTTCCATTAAACAGAAATTGAGGAGGGCTAATAATTCTGACTTGAACTGTACATATACAGTTATTTTCCACCCTGCAAAGGAAAGATAAATCAATATAAAACAAACTGTTCTTTAAGCATGTTCACTGTAAGAAACACATTTTAGCTACAGAAGTCCTTTAGTCAAGAGCAGAGAGGCATGTTCTCCATTTGCTGTATGATTAATAATCATAAAAACAGGCGGCAGCAGGATTATCGCGCGCTGTCTCTTTAATGGTTTCTCTTTCGCGTGTCTTTTGATTCTCAACTCGTTTGTTTATTACACGAATGTGGGTTAATATGAATAATCACTAAACACCGCGTTTTGACACCTATTTGACCATTAAAGCGCTCACATTAAGATGACTTAAGATGTGTGCGCACTCCTCATCTCAGTGTGCGAGTGAGACCGAATGCTGACTGCATGCTTCTGTTCTTTGTGTGCGCGGCACACAGAATCATGCGGTCTTTCGCGCTTTTAAGAGCAACACGTGTACAACTGGAAAGAAGGCGGTAAATTATGCAATAATAGTTTATCTCGATTAATGGTTTTACATAATCGTTAGAAGCCGAAATCGAAATCGAATTAATTGCACAGCCCTAGAACAAACGATCATGGCTCCTATTGGCTCAGACTGTACATTGGTTAAGATTATATGTGACTGTCAGTGTAACGTGAACGAACCCCTGACATTTGAATACATGAAGAGGTGAGCTGAGCAAAGAGACAACAATACCTTCATAGACAAAAGAGCAGGTCAACATTGAATTATTATTTTCTCCTTCTTATAGTATTCTACTCATGACTTATTTGTTGTGTGATCAACCTTTTGGGCTAGTTGTAGATGTGTTTTGGAAGCAATTCGTAACATTTTAATAATATTTTGGCAAATTGAACCAAATGAACGAAACGACTCAAAAAAAGATTCATTCAACTCGATGAGCAAGATTTAAAGATCAGAGTCAGTAAAATGATCCGAACTTCCTATCACTAAAGCTGATTTCAAAATGCATCTGTTTATAGTTGGCATTTGTGGTTTTCAATTAGATAAAACAACTTTTTCTTCTAAAAAATTATTCCCTAATATAAAGTGCAATCTCAGTGAATCAGCTACATCGGTGGCGCTGGTCAATCCACAATAATTTAGTGGCTGCATTTTATTTTATCACTAATTTATTTATTGAAATATTGTGAATTTAAGTAAGTACATTTAAATTAATAATATCAACAACTAATTCTTTGAGGGATGGCCAGAATTTACACAAGAGTGGCCGTGGCAGCCCCTGTGTCAGCGTGCTGTTATGTCATTTAAAAGGCAGTCTTTTCATTTTTATTTCAGGCCTGATGGAGGACACACACCGTCACGAGAAAATGAGTCAAAAAACAGACTCACTGAAGAGAAAAGACAAAGAATGTGTGACCTGCACTCAGTGTGGAAAGAGTCTTGCACACAACCAGAGTCTCAGGAAACACATGAGGATCCACACTGGAGAGAAACCATGCACATGCACTCAGTGTGGGATGAGTTTCAGAGAATCATCAAACCTTAATAAACACATGCTGATCCACACTGGAGAGAAAACACACAAGTGTGATCAGTGCTGCAAAACATTTCTGAGGGCTGCAGACCTGAAAGGCCACCTTAATGTTCATACAAAGGAGAAGCTTTATCCGTGTTCTGTGTGTGAAAAGAGTTTCAGACATCAACGTAGTTTAAGAAATCATCAGAAGATCCACACCGGTGTGGGAGAGTACAAGTGCTTTGAGTGTGAGAAGACCTTTTGTGCAGCTGGAAGTTTGAAAATACATGAGAGAATTCACACTGCAGAGAAACCGTACATTTGTTCACTGTGCAATAAGAGATTCAGTCAGCTTGCACATATGAAAACACATGCGACTGTTCACACTGGAGAGAAACCTTACAAGTGTTCATACTGTGAGAAGAGATTCAGGCGTTTAGGACATCTGAGACAACATGAGAGGACTCACACTGGAGAGAAACCTTACATTTGTTCACTGTGCAATAAGAGATTCAGTCAGATTGCACAAAAGAAAATACATGAGAGGATTCACACTGGAGAGAAACCGTACACGTGTTCATACTGTGATAAGAGATTCAGTGATTCAGGAAATCTGAGACAACATATGAGGGTTCACACTGGAGAGAAACCTTACATTTGTTCTCATTGCGACAAGAGATTCAGTGATGTGGGAAATCTGAGACAACATGTGAGGATTCACACTGGAGAGAAACCTTACAAGTGTTCACACTGCGACAGGACATTCAGACAGTTAGGAGGCCTGAAAATACATGAGAGGATTCACACTGGAGGGAAACTGTACGTTCACACTGAAAGCGGCGAGAGCGTCAAAGTAGGTGAAAGTCAATGAGAGCCAGCGGCGAGGAGCAGTGCGGCACGTCTTGGCTGATGTTGGCGTTGTGCTGATTCGCCTTTATTTAATCACCCTAATTAAACAAAGATACAATCAGGATCCTCCCTTTGCTATATGTCTTAGCTAGAGTTTAGTTAAAGAGCCCATATTATACATGAAATAGGGTCATATCTTGGTTGTAAGGGTCTCCAACAACAGTCTAATATGCATGCAAGGTCAAAAAACACTTTCATGGTCTCATAATCTGCATTTATTTTTACCTAATTATCCCAGCGACTCCTGTATGAATCGTCCTGTGATTCATTTGTTCCCAAACCCCTCCTTAGCGCGAAGCTAATCTGCGCTGATTGGACCAATGACAGCCTGTTGCGATTGGTCGACTGCCTTCAGTCAGAGAGTGAAATGCCAAACAGCTAATCAGCAATATAAAAGTAATCACAGTTCATACACGCTCCATAGTGTAGGCGTGGATTTTAGCTGCCAGTGGGTCAATGTAAATACATTCGATGGACTTGAAAATACAGACGACTAACTATTTTATTGAGCAAAAACTCCAAAAACAGTTGAGGAGATCTTCTAACTTGTCTCACTCTGCTCTTTTCACAGACACACAAACATATATTGCCCTCGTCCTTGCGCGCACGCACACAAAAACACACACACACCTCCGAACAACAACGCTCGCGCACACACACACAAACACACACGCATACCTCCAGACGACAGCGCGCGCACAAACACACGCGCACACACACACACACACACACTACTCCTCCTCCACGGAGCTCCGTAAACAAACAGCACGCGTCGCGTTTTTAAAGTGGCTTTGCACGCGATATGAGAATATAGCGAGTTAACCTGATACAGTACACGTGGTTACAAGTAACACATCACAAGTAAATACATTTGCAAGCTAAAGTAAACGAGGCAACTTTAATCACACATACTTACACTTGAGAAATGGAGGAAGAAACTCATCCTGACGTCCATTAGTAAGTTACTCTTTACTGATCCTTCCTTTAACAAACGCCGATGAAGTATTCTTTGTAGCATGTAGTTTGCAGAAGTTTCCAACTGCTTGGTTATAATGCTGAGGTTTCATCTTTGGGTAGAGACTCGATAATGTCCATCTGCAGTGTGACTTCAATCGACCGGCATGGTTGTGTGTGTAGTTGTGGGTGTGGTGTGTGTCTGGGTTTCTATGTCAGAGTGCGGGGCCGCAGGTTTCAAATCTCCTGGGTTTGCGCGTGCACGTGAATAACTTGGTTTCGTTCGTACGTCATGGCGAAACACCTAATGACTCTGTATCAAGGCGACTCGTTTGAAGCACTATGAGTCGACTCTTTTATAGATGAATCAACCGTTTTAAACACTGTACTCTTACAGATTTAAGCCTTAGCTGGATACTTCACTTCACTTAGAGCTGTGTTACACACTACATGGAGGGGAATTTCAAAAACCCATAATAAGGGCTCTTTAAAGGATCGTCTTTAGAATGTATTTTGCAACAGAACAAATTAGATTCATACTTTACCACACAGGGTAACTTGATGGGTTCTGGAAAATGAATTCAGTGTCCACTCCAGTGAAGAAAAGTAATAAAATACACTTTTATTAATAAAATAAAATCCAGTGAAAAAGTAGAATAAATAAAAAACAAATAACAGAAACTAAAATCCTTACCTTATCCTCCGTTGAGAATAAAGGGCCTACGACTCTCAGTATACAGAAGTCAGAAAGCGCAAAGCTGAAGAGTACATGTCAGCTTTTATACTCAGTGTCTCAGTGACAGTGTTCATAAATCATCCCTAAACACAGGTGCACAAACTACTTCAATCATACATTCAAAGAGCATGCTAAATCACTTGAACAGCAAGAAGACAGATATATATAGAGTCATCAAGAGTACATCATATCATATAAATCAACATTTAGGCATTTTAATATCAGCCTTGATTTATAGTGTGCTATATAGTTGTGCACTTAGATTCAGGTGTGCGAACTCGGTGGAAAGTTTAGCAAAAGTACGAGTTGGGAGTTCATTCAGAGTTCGATTTCGAGCAAGAGGGTCATCAGAAGTAGCAAGGGGTTCACAGAGAGTTCGTCCAACTGGTTTGTTGGCTCGGCGCGCCCTCTGCCGGAGACGCCTCTCCTTTTTCTTACGTTTCGCTTCATCATTAAGAGTTGTGCTTTTACGCATAGGAATATCAAAATACATCAGAGATTTTTTTGTGTCTCATATGATTAATGTCATCAGACCAATCAGACATTACAGCGTCGAGGAGAGTTGAAATCAAGTCAGCTTTATGGTAATAAATGGGTTCGGCAGCAACCAATCAGAATGTAGAAGTCCACCGCTTGAGAGGAGTCCAGAGAACACAGTCACTGTGAACTTTAGTTCTGACCACAGTTGTTCCCAATGGTTTGATTATTGCAATCATCGGATTTCCAATTATTTACAATGTTTTCCTACAGGAACATACATAAGAAAAGGGCGTTTGACTGACAATCCTCTATCTCATGTAGCCTAGTGGGCTATTGTGTGCACAAAGTAACTGTGCTGCAAATGGTCTGAGTTTGAATCCTGACTTGTACAAATACTCTGAAATTATGATTTGATGTATTTTAATAATGTTACTTTGTTTTATGACCAAAAACAAGACATATTTATTCACACAGGGTTCATTTAGATGTCAGACCAATGTTAAAACAAAACACGTGACAAGAACAGTGCAATTACAAACTAATATTTATAACTGCATCACTCTGGGTTCCAACCCATTACCTCTGCATGCTAATCAGGAACTCTCACCGCTCCACTAAATCACGCGTGGGGTTTAATACATCAATTTGCTGAACTGTTTCTTTGCTGAAGCTGTTAAAGCAATACAGAAAATGAACACTAGGTGTCTCTGTAGAGACAGGGTTCCAAAGTTCTTCAAAGCTTTGACAAATGCTTCTGCAGTTTCAGAGTTTCATGAAGCCTCGTTTTGTCTACCACTACACGCCGTAATGTCACAACAACAGATAATAAAATCAGCACTGAAGTGTGTGTATGTTTTGTGTATATAGTCCATCTAATCTGAGCAGCTTCTAGCCATGTGTGTGTGTGTAATCAACCGAATGAGGAACAGGCGTGTGTGAGCGGTGCATGACTGGACATGTAGTTCTTTAGTGATCTGCACAGGCTGGGTCGCTGACCGTAATATAAAGGCTGTAAAATCTTTGTAATAGACAGCACATTTTAGCAGTTTAACCACATCGTAAATATGCCACCGTATATTGACACTGTACTGTAGTCAGGCTAGGACCAGGGCCGGCGCATCCATAGAGGCGACTTAGGTGGCTGCCTAGGGCGGCAGTATAGAGAGGGCGGCGTCCGCGACACCTCGCTTACCACCCGCATCCTCGGTTATGTCCGCGACACCTCCCTCACCACCCGCGTCCTCGGTTATATTTGCGCATAGACACAAGAATAGAGAGGGCGGCGTCAGCGACACCTCCATCAGCACCCGCGTGTCCTCAGTTATATCCGCGCATAGGACGGCAGAATAGAGGTCCACGACACCTGCGCATGCTCGGTTATATCTGCGCATACGGCGGCAGAATAGAGAGCGCGGTGTCCGCGACACCTCCCTCCCTCAGCACCCGCGCGTCCTCAGTTATATCCGCTCATAGGGCGGCAGAATAGAGGTCTGCGACACCTCACTTCATTTTCATAACCGGTCACTTTCGTTTTTACATTGGGGTTGAGGGCGGCGTGATCGTCCTCTGCCTAGAGCGGCAGTTCAGCTTGCTCCAGCCCTGGCTAGGACAAAGTAAAACACACTTCAGGCATTTATAAAGAGTATGTTTATGCTGAATAAATAAAAGAAAATAATACAAAAATGAAAGCAGGGACAAACCTATAGTGAAAACAACACACTTTAGTGAATGAATAAACAATGAAACACTTAACAGAAACAGGAGTGAATGATATGATGTGGTATTTCCTTTATTCTGAGTAAAACTGCTCATTTGTAATACTAATTCAACTTTCCTCTTTTGTCAGATGGGTTCAGGTAGTTCCTCGTGTCTTTAGCAAAATTCAGCATTAGTTCAATTAGCATAATTACACAAATAAAGTCAACTGAACAGCTCCAGATTACAATGGGTTTACTTACATTATCTTTGTGAAGTCAACTTGTTGGTACAGTGTGGTGAATCATTTAAATTAATTAAAATGTGAAATTCAGAGAACTTAAAAGATTAATTAAAGGTTTTTGCTGCCTAATGAGTAAGTTAAACACTTCTGTTTTGATGCCAAAACTTGATTTTTTAAGTAATGTCAATTATATTAACTTAATTTCTTTAGTAATGACAACAGCGGGGTTTAGCCTACAGTGTGGAGTGAGCCGGATACAAAACACATGGAGTGTGGAGCAGTAGAAACTCTTGCTGCTTCACTCCGCTCACTATTTACTATAGTATTAGTTTATGTGTGGTGTCTGCTGTCAATTAAACTGGTTTTGTTTGTCCTATGATGAGTTGAACTAAAACAAGAAGTTGTATTAAATGTTTTTGTTCGTGGTTCTTTATTTATTTGTTTATTTATGTATTTATTGTCTGCTTAACATTGATTCTGAAATGATTAATTTACTGAAGCTGATTTCCTCCTGGAGCCCGGTGACCGCTGTAAGTCGCTGTTGCTGTGATTGTCCTCTAGATGGCAGTAGTACACAGCACACTGATAGCGGAGGCGCTGGAGGAAAAGCTCAGAACAAGCAACATTAAACTCGTGTTGAAGATGAGAAGAAACAAAGAGGCTACACTTCAGCTTTTATCAACTCTTGAGAGATTATTTAGCGAACACGACACAACTCCTGCCTTTCTTCATTATATCCTGGCTCTTGACTGTCAATTCCTCTGTGAAAGCGATCAGGAATAGCGGACTTTTACCGTGTTCATATGTAAACAGGTAACGTTGTGTTTCTCTCCTTATTTATTAGTTCAGATTCCTACTTTCTCAATATTCAAGTGTTTTTCTCTCGGCTGTGTTCCTCTTCAGTGTCGGTTTTCAGCTTTGTTTTTGCTTGGTTTTGGCCACTAACCTCTTTATTAAAGCTCTCGATGTAAAAGCTTCTCGCGGTAAAAGCACAGGTTATGATTCCTGTTTACTTTCACACATTCTTATACTTCAGGATTTGTCTGATCTTTATTAGCGGCAAATGAAATGCTGTGTTCACTCATTTCACCCTCATGGACAAATACTGCAGTCATTTATAGGAAATAGTGTAGTATAAATACAAAACACCAACACTGTACTACATTTACAACAACTATATTACAACACAGCACAGTTTACTGCAGTAAAAACTCATGTTTACTACAGTATGCAGAGCTTTTTCTCATTATACCATAGTTACTGCTGCAGCATTCAGTAACACAGTTGTACAATACACTTTATTATAGTATGGTTAAAAAACACTACAGTATTAACTATAAATTACTGTAGTATTTTTCAGTATTGTAGAATTATGTGTATCACTTTAAAGCAATTGATATTATATATTTTTTGTCAAGTTAAAGGTTGATCAATGCCTTTACTAACATAAACAATCAATTAGTAATACATTCGTTATTGTATTAATCCATCCATCTTTAATGACATTATTTAAGTTAAACAACGTTAGTTCATGTTAAATCTCTGCATTAATGTTAACAAACACAACTTTGGATTTTATTAAGGCATTAGTAAATGTTGAACTGATTAATTTACAGAATTATTCATACTTAATGTTAGTAAATACATGAACTGATGGAGTAAAATTATTGTAAAGTATTTCTGAACTATGAAATGTTAGTTTTGTGTAAAAACAATAATTGTCTAAAACTGATGAGCTAAAAATAATTATTAATTAATTTACTGTAAAATTTATTTGCATATTAACAAGCTGTAATTCACAAACTATATAGACAGCAGCTCGTTGTGTTTTTCTGGTTTATTTTATCTTTTTGAGCAAGAATCAAGGTTTGATCAGTGTTTTGTGCATTTTAAAGTCTTAAATTTCATTGCATTGTCCAGAATGAATATACTATGTAGACGTTGTTTCCCAAAGTTTGGCGTAATTTAATCCGTGAATATTGGGGTGCAGTGTAGTTTATTAAATCAGTAGAATCTTGCTGGATGGATCATGATGAAAGCGCAGTTGTTGCCTCAGCCTGTGAAAGAGCAGACAGAAATAGTCGGTCACATACTCATTTCATTTATTTATTTGTTCATTTTTTCCTATTTTTAAAATTCTAAATTATTCTAAAATATGTAATCAGCCAATTTGTCTTGGTAAAACAATCACAGTCGGCCATGAAAAGGCAAGCTCAGTGCATCAGTGTGTTTATTGATGAATGTGTTGATGAGTTGTGTTAAATGGGAGTTAAAGTGCATCACACACCAGATGCGCCGCAACACGGAGCGCACATGATAGTTGGAAGTATCACACACCAGACGCGCACATTGGCATGTTATTTAAAATGAAACTATTCAGATATAGTGGTGTGGCAGAAATATGAGTTTCATGAGTCGTGGCTGAAAACGGTTCCAGTTGGTCCACCGTTTTTATGTTGTTTAATTTAAAAGAAAAGGACTGTTTGTGTTTATATCAACTCAATATGACAGTCTATACACTATTCCTACACATATGTCTGTCCAAACAGCTTGAACAGTAGATTTTTCACCATATATGCCCAATAACAGACAAATTTTAAAAAGTTTAGCATTTAACACCTTTTAAATGACACTTTCTCTTCAGTGTGTTTAAGTAAAAAAATATATATATTTAAATAAAAAATAAGAAATTCACTATTCCACTCTATTGACCTTATTCTAAAATGCGGAAGTGCGCCTGTTTTTGCGATAGTCTTAGAACTTCCGATTCAGTCGCCTATGGGAGAAATGACAAGGAATAATAAAGGCAGAAAATGGCCAAACTACTTGCTCAACAAACAAATGTTTGCATGACTACACAGACCAAGTAGCATAATATAATAAGAAAATATTAAATTGCAACATCAAGCAGCGTAACGAGCAGTTGTTAACGTCAAAAAATGAATGGAAGTGAATGTGACTGGAAGTCGCGAGACAAAAAGATTCAAATGGCAGCGCCCACTCGACAGCTGAGAATAAGGTGAATATGACTAAAGCAATCTCCGCTGTGCTGAGCGAGAGCACTTCTGTTGGTGCTCGTTGGCCTGATTCAGCGTGTAGTATTGGCGTTGGACCGGCGGCTCTGATTGTAATTTTTGCTTCATTTCTCAAATATTTGCGAGCAGTTTTGTTGGTGCTAGTTGTTCTGTGTCGGCTTGGTGTGTCCTGGACCTAAAGTTTAATTCAAAGTCAGAGTTTTTTGATAAAGACCCACATATAGTGTTTGTTCACTAGTCTAGCTATTGATTGGTGTTTCTCTTTCTTATGAACCTTTTGTTAGATTTAGCTGTGTTTGGCTTATCTGTTCACCAGTGGCTCGCCAATGTTTTAGATTACTCTGTTACACAAAATAAGTAAGCTGAGACATATTAAAGACAGTGAATAGTACAGTTTCTCAGCAGCAATGTTAATGCATCAGTCTTCTAGTAATTTAACCCAAAGTGCTCTCTGTGAAACACTACTTCAGGGTTTGCCACCCCTGCTCTACTTTATCACAAAGATATTACCATTTCCTCACCAGCCACGCTTGAGTTCCTGTAGGTCAAACAGAAACTTGTTTGCTTATGAATCAAGCTATACAATCTATCATTCTGCAACACCCCCTCTCATTGAATGGTATGACTCTGAGGGGGTTCTACAGAAATTTGGCTGACTGAATAAACACTCTTGAAACTAATTATAGCAATTGAAACTCTTTATTTTACCCCAATGTGTTTTTTAGCATCAAACCAAAAACATCAATCACAAACAAAAAAAAAAATTTTGTAAAGTCAGAATCTAAATAGTCTTTTTGAATAAAGTCAGTGACCACTTATTGTTACGAGCACTTGAGAGTGATGCAATTTCTTTTCGTGGTCCAGCCACTTGTTAGGAAACGACCCTTGATGCAAATAGGAGAGACGTCAAGTTGCCCTCTGTTGAGTGAGATGATGTTGCTCCCACGAGAAGTTGTATAAGTGAAAACAGCAAGCCAACAGACGCATAGGGATAGCAAAATACAAACAGTCCTTTCTAAAATAAAACAAACAAAATCGACATGCGTAACTGCTTAAAACAACAAATCAAATATAGTCACATATACTTACAATTGAGCGATAACGGCAACAGTTCTCTACATTGGACAAAATGAGAAGGTCAGATACAAACGGTGTACACTATACTAATGCTCATTCTTACTCTATGGTAAGTGGCTCTTTATAAGGATGCAAATCAGCCTATCAAACAATCAGAGGTGGGAGTAAGTCACACATGTGCAAGTCAAGTCAAGTCACTGCTTATTTCAAGTCAAGCTTGGTCTAGCAATATATATTAGAGCAGGGGTGTCAAACTCAATTCCTGGAGGGCCGCAGCCCTGCACAGTTTAGTTCCAACCCTGCTCCAACACACTCACCTGTAGGTTTCAAACAAGCCTGAAGGACTCAATTAGTATGATCTGGGGCCTGTTTCAGTAAGGAGGTTCAAACAACTCGGAGTTTAAACTTGAACTCTGAGTTGATTTACAGAGAGATTAAAAACTCAGGGTTTTCGGTTTCAGAATAGCGAATCTGAGCTGGGTCAATCAACTTAACTGCAAAAAATGCTTTCCTTGCTTAGATTTTTTGTCTTATTTCTAGTCTAAATATCTAAAATTTCTTATATCAAGAAGCATTTTCTAGACAAGCAAAACATATTGTCTTGTTTTGAGAAATAATATGACAATATTAAGTGAGTTTTTCCGTAAAACAAGCTAAATAATCTGCCCATGGGGGAAGCAAAATAATCTTTCGTCAAAAGAAAAAACAAGATTATTTTGCTTACCCCATTGGCAGATTATTTTGCTTGTTTTAAGGAAAAACTCACTTGATATTGCCATTTTATTTCTCAAAACAAGACAATTTGTTTTACTTGTCTAGAAAATGCTTCTTGATATAAGAAATTTTAGATATTTAGACTAGAAATAAGACAAAAAATCTAAGCAAGAAAAGCATTTTTTGCAGTGTTTGAGTAGACCAACTCAGAGCGCGCACACCGTGACTATAAAAAGGCATTATCAATGGAGTGCAGATATTACGAGTGTCAATGACAACAAAAAAGAGATCACCATTTCTTTCTCCGGCTGAACTTGATCTGCTCATGCAAAGTTATAGCAAATATGAGTGTATATATTTAAAAAGAAGCAGCCATCAGTGAAACAGAGACAGCGGGAGAAAACAGCTGCTCAAGTTAATGCGTAATTTTTAATTTTAAGTATTTAAACATTTCAGTATAATAAAATAAGTAATGTAATGTGTGACGTTTATACTTTTTTCCCTAAACTTTTATACACTTTTATCAGTTTTAATAGATTTAACAGTGCACTTGTTGTGTGTCTGCCTTTTTATTGATCAAGTGATAGAGGTTGATATAACATTAAGAAGGTAATCAGTAATAAAATAATTTTTATACAGAATAATAATCCCATTAATCTAGTAACAGTGCATGTTGAAGGTTAAGCTAATTATTTATGAAAAAAAGGACAAGCCTCGTACGTGACCTTGTTCTGTGTGTGACAAAAATGTAGGCAATAGCTGTGTTTCCATCAAAATATAGGCTATTACATATTTGTGCAAAACTGGAATAACGCCTAAAAATAAAGCAGCTTTTTTATCCAACGAGTCGAAGAGAACACAATCGTCACTTCATGATTAACTTGCGCCAAATATCAACAGTAAAAACAGAATTTACTGCGGTAGAATAAGCTGCGTCAATGATTTTTTTATTTAATTAATGTACTTGCGCCTCAGAAGACAATTGAC